GGGTGGGGGGGCAGCGGGCGTGGGGAGGCACTTTTCCTCTGCCCGGCAGCTCTGCGGGACCCCAGTCGGAGCCGGCCCGAGGAGGAGGAGGATCCTAGGACCCAGGTGAGCGAGCCCCGGGAATGCTGCTGCGCATGTGCGGGAGTTGCCTCACCCCGTTCGTATCTAGGGATCCGACGTAAGTCGGATCCACGTAAGTCGGGGATTGCCTGTATATCAAAAATTGCACATTCAACCTGATCTAAAACCTTCAGAAAGTTAAAAATGATTGGTTACATAAAGTTTGCTTTGCACAGCTGCAGTCATTTATTAAAATTTAGTAGTATTATTCAATTAAAAAGGCATGAGCAGTTTCAGAGAAAGTAAAACTATATTCATGAACAAAATTCCATAAATTTAAACCAGCAGATATCACTTAATAGATTAGTTTCAGAGCAAAGTTTACTGACTTAGAAAAAGATAGGATCTTAAAGACTTGTACTGCTAACTGCAAGACTAGAAAATAGGCCTTCACCTACTGAGAACCATTTTTGTAAGTTATTATAAAATGAAATCTACTGTTTTGCAGAACTAAAGTTACTCTTACCCTTCCATTTTTACAGATATAATCAAACAGTTCCCCTCCAGAAACGTATTCCATCACCATGAAAATGTCAGATGGTGTACTGATGACTTGGTACCTAAAACATAACACATCTATTAATTCCACTGCATGCGTGCACACACACAATACAACTAGTTAATTATAATTAAAACAGTATTGGGCTTTGTTAAATGAAGTTGATACAAGCTATACCACAGAATTAAATATTTCCTATATGAAATTAAGTAGTTCAAACATCCCAGTTTCAGTATCTCTCTTCATGGAATGGGACCACTGCAGCAACAGGGGGAAGCATATTAAGAATATATACTTCTGAGGAGGTTCAATTTTAGCTGGCAGATTAGGAATGGAAGTTTCTCAGGCCTATTAGAAAGTATTACAAAGCAGATTATACCCCCTTTCCAGAAGCTAAGGAAGAGACAAGCATTTGTTAAAGTCAGCGCATCACTGACAACACAATATTATTTTTGTTATTGCACAAGGAGTCTTAAATATACAAGCAGGAAGGGGGTTAAAGGACTAGTGATATAACAGGTGCAGAGAAAGGAAGCTTATTATTAAAGTAATGTAGAAGTGGTTAATTTAACAGTAATCAACTGTTCCATGCTTTGGCATGTTCTCTCTGTTTTTGATATGACATTACATGTACAAGTTCTACAGCACCCAAAAGCCAGCTACTGCTTTCCAGGAGAAAGAGAAAGACTAGGTCTCTCCCTTGATTATTTTACAGGCTATATTTAGATAAGATGTGACCAATAAGAGACCATAGCTGAAGACAGAAAGCCATGTGGTGATTCAGTTTATACATGCCACGCATACTGTGGCACAATTAACTACTTGTAGACATAACAGAAGGACTGTAGCATATTCTTATAGAAAGATTTCCTAGGGGAATGAAAAACGAGTTTCAGCATGGCTGGACAAGTTATTCTTGAGAGTTACTGACAAGAATGAGCTCTCAGATTATCTGGGTGATTAATATTGGCTAACACAAACAATCACAATATTTAACAAAATACACTTTAATATTCAAATTTCTAATGTAGCCTGAATTCTGAGACTCTTACAGCAGTTCGTTCTTGTTTATTTTAGTTTCACATTGTTTAATTTTAGAGCTTTCATTTTAGTGACATTCTTTGTCATTAAATGACTTAGAATACCCAACATAAGTGGTCGTTCCAAACACAGGATGGACCCTCTGTCCAGCACCCTTAAGACCTGACTGGTCCTGAACGAGCAGATGTGTTAGACCGGTGAGGTTCCTCCCCTCATAGTCTGTGCTAAATTGCTTCTCTAACCCAGCTCCTCAGAACGCTCATCCCTCATGGCCTGTGCTGAACCACACTTCCCCCTCCCCTTCCCACAACTAAGGCTCCAGCCCAGCTCCCCCAAAACCTCTAGCTGCTGCTGGCCCCACTGCTGCTGGGGCTGGGGGTGGCAAGGCTCCACGGCTGCAGCCAGAACTCCTCTGCTGCCTGGCCGCTGGGGCCAGAACTCCCTGCTGTGCTGTCCCCGCCTCGACAGGGCTTCTGGCTGAGCTGCTCTCTCCCCCGCCATGTTCCGGCCCCATGGCCAGACCTCCATATACCTGGGCTCTGTGGTGCAGGAACATACCATAGACGTTGGTGGATTTAAGGATGTTAAAGACTAGACGACTCCCCCTTTGCTGCCTCTATCAAATAGAGGCAACAAAAGGGGGGAGGGAGGGAGGAAGGAAGGGGTTCTTCAAAGTGACAGTGCCACACAGCTGTGAGGCGCAACTTCTTTGAAACCCCAATGCCAGAGGCATTTCCCCAGAATCCGGGGTCATTCCCCAGAAGCTGGGGAAATGCCATGTGGAACCTGGGGTCAGCTGGGGTTCCTAGCTGATTCCAGACTCTCCGCGGCATTTCCCCCACCCATGGCAGTGGGACCCAGGCTTCAATCCCCCCTTCCTTGAGTCATGTAGTATTTTTTGTTGTCAGAAGAGGAGGTGCAGTGCAAAGAAGTTTAAGAAACCCTGGTTTAGATCTTCATAATACAATGCCACTTGAAGCAGTGAAATTGTTAACAGTGATGACATTCAAGATGAGAAGTATTACCAGTCATGTCAGGAACCATCCACCCACTAAAATTAGGATGTTTATACCTCAGAACTATTGGTTCACAGACTCTGAAAACTCAGGCCACATCCACATTATGGGGACTGTATCAGTGTAACTATGCCAGCATTAACTTATAGGCCTTGTCTATGCTACTGTGGACTCTTCTACAACTTCAGCTACACGAATTACATAAGTCTGCTCATTGAAGTATCGTCTCTGAAGTCAGTCAACAGCTGATGCTCTCCTGTCAACTCTGCTTACTCCTCTCACTTTGGTAAAATTCCAGAGATGACCGGAGAGCACTTGGTGGTGGTATAAATGTAATAAATCGACCCCCACTGCATCAATCGCTTAGTGAAGGCATACCCTTAATGTAGGTACAGCTATTTCACATGCCTTACAAGCAAGATCAACCTAATTTTTAAAATGTTTATCTGGCCTTTACTTGACATTGCTGCATCAATTACACTAGGATTGTGTTTTAAAGATAAACTTTAAAACTGTATAGATAGAGAGTTGGTACTGGTCTAGACTTTGAAACTGACAGTTTCGCAGTGAATTTCCCCTCCCCCACTGCCACAATTCTGCTGGTATAAGCCCTAGTGTAGATTCACTTATGCCAATGCTTTCACTGGCATAGCTTGTCACCTGTGTAACTGGTGTAAGCTAGGGATGTTAAAATGCTGGTAACTGACGAACCGTATAAACCACTGAAGTGTCTGTATCAGAGGCAGCAGGACAGGGCGGCAGCCTGTGTGTACCAGCTTCTACCTGCTGCATCTGATACATAGGTGGCAGTGTGAGACAGCAGCCAGCTCCCCAGCAGCTAGTGCACATCAGGAACTGGCTTTTAAGCCAGCTCCCTGCACATAATGGCTCCCACTTGCTGCCCCATGCTGCTGCCTCTGTATCAAGACACCAGCCCTGGGCAACAGTCTGTTCCCCAGGAGCTGAGCCAGGAGCTGCGTGTAACTGTTTGGGTAACCATGAGTCACCCATTTTAAAAAAAAACAGGACTATGCAGCACTTTAAAGACTAACAAGATGGTTTATTAGGTGATGAGCTTCCGTGGGCCAGACCCACTTCCTCAGATCAAATAGTAGAAGAAAATTGTCACAACCATATATACCAAAGGATACAATTAAAAAAAATGAACACATATGAAAAGGACATATCAAATTTCAGAACAGAAGGGGGATGGGGGGGGGGAAGGTAAATGTCTGTGAGCTAATGATATTAGAGGTGATAAATGTGTTTCTGCCAGCACAGCTTACGCTATGGGTGTAGGAACAAAGATAGCTTCCCCAAATATCTCAATATAAACTGCATCTATGCTATGAAGGTTTGTCAGTGTGCAGACCAAGGATCAGCAACCCACAGCACCCATATCAATTTTGAGTGTCACGTGCAGCAGGAGCTCAGGCCCCCTCTCTCCCACACAGCAGGTAGCCCATGCTGTCACTGGAGCCGTGGGGCTAGGACACAGATGCAGCCCCAGCTCCAGAGGGCAGGCGGGGAGACTGCAGATTGCGCTGTGTGGGAGTGGCCTGTGCTCTGCATCTTCTCTGCCCTCCCAACGCATTGTAGAGCTATGCAGCAGTGAGCCAGTGGAAGTAGGTGACCTGGTGATGAGCATGTGGGGGCTCATCAGGCCACACTCCTCTGGCGGTCAAGGCCGGGACTTGGGCCACAGTATCTGCTCCTCTGGCAGCCGGAGCTGGGCCATAGTGAGGCTGTCTCTGCTGGGGCAGCCTCACCACATTCCCAGTTCTTGCTCCGCAGCAGCCATGCAGACCAGCTGGTGGGGCTGTAGGACAGGTGGTTGCTTCAGGGGGTGGGGCTGTTCCAGAGCCACAAGGCTGCATGGAGCAGGGCTGCTCAGGGGGGCGGAGCTGCTCCAGGGATGGTCAGGACACTGCAGTGGCAGCAGGGCACCCCAATCTGGCTGCCATGGGCAGGCTGGATTGCTGCGGGGAGAAGGGGAGCTTGCTCTGGGCCAAGGGATGTAAGCGACTAACTATCAAGTAAGCATAAGCTTATCTGATAGTTGACTAGTGATGCAACTAATCACTGCCTCTATCAGAGAGGGGCAGCACAGAGAGATGCAGCAAAGGGGTGGAGCAGGAGCCCAGTGCTGGGGAAGCTAGCTTAAAAATCAAGAGGGCAGGGGAGGTAAAGGCACAGCAGGAAACGGCACAAGCAGGGACTGAAGCAATCTTTGCTTATGCCAGTTCTACTGGGATTCCGCTTTTGAAATGTACAAGAGCTCCAGTGGGGCACTTGTACATTTCAAAAACAGAAACCCCGCAGGGAGCATGGGGCCAGCAGTGGGCTGGACACCCACCCCCACCTTGCCTATTTCCCTGAACCCTCCCCCCGCCCAAGCCACACTGACCCCAGCCCATGTCCCTTGCAAGATTGGAGCCAGTGCCAGCTTCCTGTAGGGGAAGCCCCAAGGCTCCATGCCAGCTCCCTGGGAAGCACACACACACTGCTCCCCCCGCCAAAGGAAAAGCTGGAACGGAGCCCAGGGCACATGATTAAGTGGGGCATATGGCGGAGGGCCCTACCCCCATTCTCAGGAGAGCGATGTGGCCCAGGGCAAGAGGGTTAAAGCTTGACAAGCCACTGCAGAAAGGCTGCTGACCCCAGATGTAGAAACTAGGGATATAAGGTATATAAGGGGATATAAGGTACTAATTGACTATCCAATAAGCCTAGGCTTATCGGTTAGTCAAGTCACCGGGTAGTCAAGTCACTACTTGACAAGTCACTTCCCCCTCTTGCTGCCTCTGATCACCATCTCCATGGGGCGAGAGGAGGAAGGAGGGGGGCAGAGGAGGTAGAGATGCAGTGGGGGTAAATGCTATTTAACATCCCTAGTAGACCCAGCCCTTCAGTTTTTTAAACAGAAGATTGACTCTAGAAAATTGTCTCAGACATCTTGTCCCTTGTGCCCACTAGTCCTTTGAAACCTCTCTAACTTTTGGGATGTGCCTCATACTTTGGGAAACACTACCTTAACCTAATATTTCAGAGTGGGAAATCAGTTTGTAGAAAAATAAATTATATATTACACCACTTTGGCTATGCCATAGTCAGCCTTTTAACACCTTGCAATTTTAAGATTTGATCAGATTAACATTTAGAATTGGAAAAAAGTTGGTCTATTAAGAAAGGTCAAAATCACAACAGGGAATATTTCAAATTAAGACAAGCAACAACAACATTTTATAAAGTAGAGAATCATAATAATTCTTGGTTGGCTCAGGGGGTTAGATGTATGATGGGCTCAGGGTTAGTGTGGGGGGTGCAGGAGTGTTATGATGCTGCAGGCAGATGGGGACTGGGTCCCAGTTGTGGGCTTGCTGGCCAGGCTTCATTTTTAAATAAAGTAAAATATGTCCAAACAGAAAAGGTTTCAACATTGTCTTTATTTATGGCAGAGATGGGGAACCTTTTTTGGGTTAGGGGCCACTGTCCCACAGAAATATCAGTTGAAGAACACAAGTGAGAAGCAAAAAAACCAAATGCTCCTGAAACATCCAAGCCCCCAACTGAGACCCCTCATTCCCCGGAGGGGGGGGGGAGGGAAGGAGAAGAAGGGCAGGGAGGACTGACGTTCAAGGTCTCTGGGTTGGGACCAAAAATGAAGTGTCCAGTGTGCGAGGTACTGAATCTGGGTGGGATGTAGGGTGCAGGAGTCAACTGGGAGTAGTTATTTGGCCAGGGGGGAAAAGGACAGGAGCAGGGTGCAGGTGGATGTCTGGTCGGGGGCAGGATGCTGGTGCATGTCTGGTCAGGTGAGAGGGGGCATGAGTGGGATGCTGGTGGGTGTCTGGCCAGGGGTTTGGATGGTGTTCTGGGGCAGGAGATTGTGGTGCAGTATCTGGGAGGGGTATGGGCTCGGGCTCAGGAAGGGGGCAGAGGGTTTGGGTTGTGGGATATGAGAGAAGGCAGGGGCTGAGGTGCCAGAGGCAAGCTCTGGCCAGGACACATACCAGTGAGACTTGCAGCTCAGCCCATTTCTCCCCTGCCACCACACAAGCTGCCTGGCCATGTGCTCGGTGACTAAGAGCCTGAGGGGAGAGGGATTGGTGCTTCCCACATGTTCTTGAAACAGGCAGCTTCCATTGGCCAGAACTAACCAATGGGATTGTGCTGGGGGTGGGAGCAGCCATGAGGCACCAATCACCCCCTCCTCTGCTCACTCACAGTGTGTAGAAAACAAAGCGCTCTGCAGCTGCTTTTCTGAGTGGTGCACAGGGGCAGGGCAAGCATGGGAGGCTGCCTAGGTGCTCCATGCTGCTTCCACAGGCCCGATCCCGTCAGCAGAGGGGTGTTTTTCCCAGGCCTGTTGTAGAGCCATCGTGGGCTATCTGCTGCGGGGAGAGCAGGGGGTGGGAGGGTCTAGGCTCAAGCTTCAGAGAGTCATAGGCTGCCAACCCTGAGTTAGGCCAACCCAGGTGCTCACTCTTAGAAGACTGATCACTGCAGTTAACTCTACAGTGAGGACAAACTTTTTTAGAGTTCTTCCCTTCTATATACTAAAGTCATGTATGACAGATTACTATCTGTCTCAAAGAAACTTCTAAAGAGCAAAGCTACAGCTGGATACACCATACTGCACTGACAGGAAGCTAGAAAACCATGGTAGGAGAGAGTAAGTCTGGACCTCCCTGTAGAAACAATTTCCCCTCAACTCCATGCTAAATTACTCATTGCCAATTTGCAAACAGAAAAATAAGGTCCAACCTAACCACTTAATTCCAACTAGCAGTTGAGGACTGAAGAGTTTTGTTGTTTTGCTAGCAATTCCATTTATGAACACTATCTTACCAGCTTGCAACCAAAGATTTAAGGATGATATATTTTCACATAAAACAAATTTCCTTTAGATGCATTACAGCACAAACCTTATAATTGGATAGCTGATAGGAAAAAAGTTAAATTTTATTGGAACAGTAACATTGCCCTCTACTTTTAAATTTGTACAATGGATATTGAACATAAAATAGTGTTCTACTTCAACAAAGCTCTAAGTATAGAGGTAATAAAAATAAGAACGACTTACAGTTTAATTATATGTGGATGTCTAAAAAGCTTGAGGTTCTGAATCTCTCTGCGGATTTTTCCTACTACATCAAGGCTACGAATCTTCTGTCGATTTAATATCTTCACTGCCACTTTGTGGCCTGTCAGCTCATGTTTGCCAACTACCAGAAAAAAGTAAACAGTCAGAATTACCAAGCACTTTTCAGAATAAATTAATTTAGTTAGAATCTTCTGTGGTTTGGAAACACCATAGCAAGATTAGAGTGCTCTCTCCAATCCCCATTATCCTAGAGAAGGTTGTAGGGTAAGCAGTGATTAGACGCTCCCCTCTCCTCTATACCTGTAGGGCAAGATCAGGAGTCAATTTAGAAGTGGAGCAATAAACCTATACCCCTATTGCATTAGCTCTCTTTAGTCCGAGATTTTCCACGTCTTGCAGGGCCTTCATTAGTTTTCAGGTGTTAGCACATTTGTTGCTCTCTCAAACAAGAGACTCCTCAACTTAAAGGTCATTTTGTATCCCCAGCATTGCCCTTGTTACCAGGGATCCCATTAGCCTACTTTATATAAATCATTTAAGCTTTTTGGCCAATTTGCTTGTGGTCCTTACATCTCTGGAGCTATCACCTTGCAAGTCTACTTCCCCTTCTTCAAGGAAGGTTCTTCCGCCAATAAACAAGAGTCTTAGGTTTCTTTACCATTATTTTTACAGTTATTGCCTACTTTATACTTCATCAGTTACTTTGATTAACTACAATTTACAGCTGGCAATTAAAGTCTATTTAACTATAGTTCATCTGACTTCGCATACAATTGGGAACAGTTATCTTACCACTACTTATTTACAGCATGCATGTATGCATACACACTAATGGTAGCATTACCAAAAACCTTACCAATATATTTCTTTTATGCCATAAAAATAAGCCCAACCCCTATGGAATAGTTAAAATAGAAAATTGTGGTCATGAAAACATTAACACACCAATTACAACCCAGCAAAAGAGACAGAGGACAGAACTAATATTTAAGTATCTTTTAAAATATTGTTCTGAAACCTTCCCCCTCCCTCCACACCCCAGGTCAAAAACCTTACCAATATATTTCTTTTATGCCATAAAAATAAGCCCAACCCCTATGGAATAGTTAAAATAGAAAATTGTGGTCATGAAAACATTAACACACCAATTACAACCCAGCAAAAGAGACAGAGGACAGAACTAATATTTAAGTATCTTTTAAAATATTGTTCTGAAACCTTCCCCCTCCCTCCACACCCCAGGTCA